TGAAACTGCTCTACCTTTAAATAATGAATCTATTTTGAGAATTGAGTTCAGCACCTCCGAAACCTCCTTTCAAGTTTGTACTAAATATTTTAATGGTTTGACTGCCCCATCAGGTGTCATTCCTAGAAGGAGAATTCCAGATTGCACAGATAATTCTTTTCCAGTGGTCTTTGGAGACATCAAGATCTGCTTTGACCTTTACAGGTAAAGCATGTACTTTGTTGACAAGCTACTGCCTGCCCGGACTACACCTTGTTTTCTTTTACCGTTATATTGTACAGCAAACTCCTGGAAGGATGAAAGTCTTTCTTTGAGTGTTTGCAGTTGACAGTGGTATAACAGCAAATTTTGCAGTGCATTCTTCCATAGCTTCTTGCTAAGGAGATTCTAAAAAGGGAGATAGCTATCTTGGGTCACTCACTACTGTTGTGCGCTTTTAGGTCATTTCTGATTTTTGGATCACCCTTAGACAAACCTATGACAAGGTCCTCTTAGCAATATTTGTTCAGAAGGGATTTACCTGCCTTTGAGAAATTAATTGTCTTTCGTCCCATACTGGGATCCTGAACTTTGTCATTTGGTGTAAGATTTTCTAGTGGAAGGTTCTAGTCCACTACCCTGCACTATAGCACCAAAGTTTAACAGAAAATTCTTAGTATTACGCCGAACTACAAATCCTAACATTGTGTAAGATGGCAATTAAAAGTGATATCAGACTTATAAACATATGCAGGGAAGAGACACATTTTCCTACATAGCCACAACACTTTTCTCTTGCAAAAGGCAAGGGCTAAAAATGCCTTCTTTCACAACAAAATCTATAGAATGTGTAATTTGTTTTGAGCTCCATCATTAAGAAAACCTGTGAAATTGTAAAACAAGACTTAAATAGTTGACGTGGTTGTGATTGCTGTTTGAGACACATAATCTTTCATAGCTATGGTCAATACTTATAGTACCACTTCATCTGACTTCACAACAATGAAGGAAATATCTTTACTTCTAATCATTTAGATGTTAGTGGGAAACACATTTTTGATAGAAATATTCCTGTAAATTAAATTAACTACAACTGGGAAACCACATGTCCTGCATTACTAAACAAGAAAAAACACCAATTAATAATATATTCAATGTCTATGTGTAGTTACTTCTTGGGGTCCTCCAGAATGAACAAAATGTTGCTGTTTGTTTAAAATTTGTTGTTTTTTTTTAAAAAATAACAATAACCACCAGATGGTGTTTCTATTATCCCAAGCACCAGCAACGTTTTATCCTATCCGAGAGTATTGATTCCCTCCCCAGCAAAACAAAACAAAAATATCCAGGATATATTGGAACAAAAGAACACATATGGTTCAATAATTGCAGTTCCTTGGCCACGAACTCCTCCTTGGTTCTTTGGTGGAGGAGAGGAGGGGGAAACTGGCTGTCTGAGGTTCTTAGACTGTTGTTCCTTTAACAAAGAAGGCATGAACAACATTCAGAATCAATAGTAGCAAAAACAAGGAAGAAATCTTATTGATGACTGACCAAGTTGTTTGTGGAGTTCCTTTTACCCACACTCCACCACCACATTTTAAAAGAAGGAAACATGCTGGGAATCCTTCAGGTCAGGCATGTAGGGGGGGGGCTCGGGGGGCTTCAGCCCCCCCGAAATTCTCATGGTGGTTCGCGAAAAGGCCTTACTGGTGCATTATTTAAACTGTTATGTTTATTCATATCATGATCTGATCACCATACTCAATATATCCCATATGCATGGGGGTATTGGGGTAATGATACAAAAGGTTTGCTAGGGTAGACCCTCTTTCACTCAGACTCAGCCCGCCCCCCCCGAAACCCCCCCTGAAAAAAAATTCAGCCCCCCCCCCCCCGAAACGAAATCCTGGCTACGGGCCTGCTTCAGGTGAATGCAGAATAGCACCAAGCAGCTATAAACAAGAGACACAAAGCAGCTATAAACAAAGAGCTCTGTTGTGAGAGTTCTCACATCTTTGCACTAAATTGGAAAAACTGTACATTTCCTTACTGTACAAACTCAGTCATATGTGTGCACACAACTCATCCCTTTCTCCTTTTTTCACCTTGAGAGTCTTCTGTTGACTATGGTTTAACTGCACAGGTAAAAAGTTCCGGTAAATATCAGATCACCAAGTGATTTAAGTATGGAAGTACTGAAATCACAAAGTACTAATGTCTGGTTAGGTTTCTGCTACTATCATAAAACTATTATTGGGAAAGGGGGAGGGGAACACAGTTATAAGCTAATCTGTTAATGTGTATGAGTGAAATCAGAATACTTCACTTCCATTCAAAAGAGAAAGTTCCTAGCCATTCATTTCAGTACAGAGCTGATGTTCAATGATAAAAGTTGATGCTTTGTACATGAGGTCTTGAGGTCAATCTCTGGCCTCCAATTGAGTTGAATTAAAATGTCTGTTCTATTTGAGGTGCAAAGGCACTAAAGCTAAGAGTAAGGTTCATCACCAAGAGCAAGGCTTGACAACAGTTCAAAGATCCAAGCATGCTGAGAGTAAGGTAGTCAAGGAATGCCAACACTGGAGCTGGAGAACATACTGTTTTACCAACTCTTTGTATGGAAATATGAGGGTTCTAAAGCCTTAACATTCACTGCCTTGCACCAGGTACAGCTGGATGCCACCAAGAGCTATCCAAGAAAAGGTTTTCTTTTGAGTCCTACATAAGTAACCTTTTAGTCAGTAAGATATTTTGGAAGTCATTTTGGGAAAAAAAAACCCATGTAGTACGTATTAGATTTAATTTGTTGTTTTTTAAAAAGACACATAAGGTATGCCATGCTAGAGACCATTTAACTCAGAACAGAATGCAGTTTGCAGCTTCTAAAGTAGAATGCATATCCAGAAAACTTTTTTTTAAATTACCAATATTTTCACGTAAGAAACTAAGAAAGTTATATCTATCTGATTAAATTCCCCTTCTATAAAAGAAGGAGATGATGTGTTCTGAATTCTTACATTGTCTTGGATAGCAAAGCTCACCTTGGGGAGTAATGGCTGTTGGGGAAAGGACATCTGATTCGCTTTGCTAGCTATGTGAAAATAAAGCTTATGTTCTAATTCTTTGTTTCCCTTGTTGAACTTCAACTCAATTATAAAGCAAAATCTGGAGCTACAATGCAAGACTAGATACAGCTCCATGTGCACAAGTAATCAACTCCAATTCCCTCTGCCCAATTTAATTACAAAACCACATTTGGTGTTACGGCTAAATGTGTACCAGGTGACTGCATGCTTCAATCTGTCTGAGGCACTTCAAAGACTCTTAGCTCTGCTGTATGACTTGCACTGCCATTTTAAAAAATTACAGGCTGTTTGGAGTACACAGCAGTGTCAACATTTTTGCTTTTGTGACTCAGGTTGTCCTTGCATACTGACATTATAGGAATAATTATTTTTGGTAATTTCAATTTCTATTTATGTGTGCAGGGTAATCACCCCCCAGACCCAACACAAACCAGTCTCAAAATGAAATTGGGATAACAAAGGCCACAACTTGTTTATTAGTTATAACTGAAACAGGGGTTGGCAGCCATACATAGGTCCTGTATCAACGAACTGTACAGCCCAACTGTTGATTGGATGAACTGCAAGGTGGAAAATCTGGATGTACTGAAAGGTTCCACCTGGTCATAACTGGCCCTAGGCCAACAGGGGGAGAGAGGTGCAGTGTAGTTTCCTGTCCAACACCGCTCTGGGTTACCTGCACTGCCACATCCCTCACAGGACACTGGAATGACCCCTTGATGAGAGGGAGAACAATCCCGAACCAGAAACAGGGCCGATGCCAACTGCCACCAAGTTGTGATGGAGATACAAAACAAGAAGCAACACAAAATAGGCAAGGGTGGGAAGGTGGGGAGAGCTCGAACTGAGCTGGAGGAGCCTACATGCCAACTTATATAATTGGCAGGCAAACCAGAGGGAATAAGTATTTCTTCTCGTCAGCTAAGCAGAATGCCTACTGCTGATTGGTTGGTCCAGGAAACAGTGAGCAGGTTGTGCATGGAACACAGAACTCCCTGAAAAGAGGAAACCCTGGAAAATGGCAGCTACGGGGAGCACTCGCCACCGGAACTTTCCTGCCTGGTAAGTCGGGAAGACAATTTACCCATTTATAACATATCAAAGATATGTTTTTCCAGAAATAAAATGTCACCACAGTTCATAATTCATCAAGCCCACTTGTGCAGATGAGCAAAGTGTGAGAGAATGAGGAGGCTGAGATTAGCTGGACCTTTGGCATTAGAAATGCTGATTGGGCTGGATTTCTTTTACCTGCTAAGGTTGAGAGAGAAGAGACAACTTCCACCTCATCACACAAGGTGATTTTAGCATCCAAGATGCTTCCTTCTCAGAAACTCACACTGCCCACAGCATGACATTCAGCAACTTCTGGTGGGGCTCCGTGGAGGAAGACAATTTGAATAAAAATAAAACAAACACATACCCATACAATCTGACAAGAGAAATCTGAGTACGAATTGATAGATTTTGACCTTATTGGTCATTTTGGCAGTTCATGGTATCCACAGAACTCTCCTTTAGCAACGTATTTCAAATGCTATACCTTGGATGATCTTGGCTTTGGTGATATATCCATGCATTTAAAGATCTTACATATGTTTAAATGAGGCCCATTCCATACAGTTGTATAAAATCCACATTGAGCTGGATTTTATGGCAGTGTGGACTCAGGTAACCCAGTTCAAAACAGATATAGTGGATCATCTGCCTTGATATTCTGGGTTATATGGCTGTGTAGAAGAGCCCTAAATGTGCATAAATCAGAAAAAGCATAGTCCTAAATAGAGTGGAATCACTGAATCAATCACCAAATGCCATAGTCAACACTAAGAAATGACTACTAAAAAGATCTTGCAATTGTATTTACACCAACACATTTAACAACAATTATATATTTAAGAAAGGGGAAAGTAAAATAACAAATCAACTTACCATCACTGTTGATACAGACCACCTGAGGAATCTGAGTCCCTGGCCCACACTCCTTTTCATTGTCTGGAATGCAATCTTCCAATTTTACTATCCTCCAGTCATAGCAAGAAGGTTCTTCACATGGAATTGCTTCAAGTAAATGGGGGCAGTTGCCGGTGCCTCCAGTAGGTTCATTGGTGATGCGGCGTTTTCTCAGTTTAAAACCTTAGGTAAGAGAAAAAAGTATCATGGTGATTTACTTATTTATTTTTGACACCGTCCTATCCTCAGAAGGAAAAAAGAAGATACAAGGACAGCTTCATTATGTCTCTACCCAGAAGCAGATAAAAGGCTATCCCTCCATCCAACTGACCTAAAACCTTGTGATTTGAACCAAGTTTGTGCTGCTGGATTAGGGCTGCTACTGTGAAAGTTATCCACCTGTTCTATTATTGTAAGATCCTCTACCTATCTCACTACTATGACACCAAATGCAAAAGCTTCCTAGCTGCCCTCTTGGATCCTATGGGAGACTTTTTGTACAAGCCCATCACTGAAACCATTTATCTTTGAACCACATCCTTCACCACAGAGACCATGTGTCTGAACTCATCTACAGCCAGTACTATTGTAGCATTCTTAGAAGAACAAAGAGATAACACAAAAAGGAATTTATTGAACAGAAGTTCAACATACCACTTGGTTTAACCCATCCAAATCATGACTTGTTCTCACATTTTTTCTTATATTCATTTAATATCATCTCCCTCCAATTGACATTTACTTCATCTTTTTGACATATTTTCAAATATAGAGCCAATCTGCAGTCACTACCAACATTCTATATATTCATCTTCAGTTTTTACATTTACTATCTTAATTTGTCTAATAAATGTGAGGAACCCACTGTCCAAAGTTTATAACCTAACAGTTTTTGGGGATAGAATTCTGAACACAATTAGCTCCATATAGAGAATAATGATGACACATGGACTAAATTGAAAAATGCAGATGGTTGGAGATTTTGACCTAATCATTTTTGAGAAGAACCTACCAAAAACTCTCACATCTCTTCATAAATGGGAAATTGGGAAGAAGAACTTTAGATTTGTAAAGAACAATTGGAAAGTAGAAGAAATCAAAACTGACATATTTGTTCAGCCCTAAAATCTAACCAGATGGAATAAATCTACCTGGAGAAAACAGGTCTCTTCTCATGATTTGAAGACAGAACTTGAAATTTCCAACGAGACATGTCATAAAATATTGCTGTGAAAGCTAAATACCATTCAGTTTCCAGACTGAAAGCCTTTTAAGGAGCAATGACACATATTTGGCACCAGTGGGTATTCTGTCAATTGTTAATATTGCAATGCCCTTATAAACTCTTAAATACACAATCTTTTGACCAGATATGTCTCATTGCTTCATTTAATTCATATTTCTTCTTGGTGCTGCAGCAGGACAAGATCTCACTGAGGACCAAGTGAGGAGTTCAGTAACTGGTCAGTGTGAACTCATCCAAGGAGATTGCAGTGAAGTGTGGAGATGTATTGTAAAATGAAGAAACTGCAGTCTAGATATAACTAGGAAGTGCAAGGAGAAAGTTAGCTTAGAGTAGGGATCTCAGCATTAAGGATGGTTTGGTTCATTATACAGTTAGTTCTCCACATTCACTTGGGCAGTAGAAAGTGACCATAGAGAGATTCCTAGAATAGTGTACTCTCTAAGAAATTCTGGGTCCTCCGGCATGGTCTTATAATGATCAATCACTGACATAAATTGACCAATGAGTCACAATGAAGGACTTAATAGATTCATAGCAAGACAGTATTAATCAAATCTGTAAATAATCAGATTTGCAAGTTCAACCAGCAAATATTGAAGATGCCTGTATTGTATTGGTAGGCTACTTTTATGCCTATTGCCTTTCAAAAATATATTAACATACAAAACCAATACATAAAACAGAATAAAAATGAGACCAATTGATTTTTTTCTCTTGGTGGAAGTCATGGATCTAGCTGATATTTGCTGAAATTCAATAAGCTACTTTTTGTCTATAAGGAGAACACAACAATCTAAGGACAAGGAAGGGCTTTAGTTTTTAAAAACGGTTGCTTCATTAACATATTGGCATTACAATAGTGAATTAACATCAGCTGCTACCATTTTAAAAACAATTCCAACAAGGCATCTTTGTTTCCTAAATTTTGCTTCCAAGTCTTCAGAGAGGAGGGATACTTGAGAACATTCTTGATGACACAACAATCCACAGAACATTGTTGTAAAAACACAATTTTATATAAAAAGAATAAAAAGAAGAGAATATCAGGCCCAATTATTACATCAGCTTAAAGTTGAAAACTGTATTTGCCAGTAATGATTTGCAACTGCCAAGTCACCTTAAGTTGTGATATCAGGAGAAAGGTGGGGTAAAAAATAAATAAATAATGACTAAGGGGTGGGGAAGCACATACGGTTCTTTAGAATTCTACCTGTGAAAAAGGCTTATGTCAAAATCAACCTAGAATCCAACATTAGACTTCCTTTTCTCAGTACTCAAAAACAGCAGATAATTTCATTTAGATTGGAAATATACATACCTTTTTTGGCTTGTTGGTCATCACAGTTTTCAAAGGTGCATGGTCCCCAAGCTGACCAGGCTGATACCTCACATTCTATGGGACATGGGATATGACACAACTGGGTTGTACTTGGAGTAGGACCTGTGCATAATTTCCAATCCACAGGTTTGGATGCTGTGAGAAGGGAAAGAAGACACAGTGGTATATCTGTTGTTTATGTTTCAGTCAAGCTTTGATGAAACCAACACTGCTGCTCAACAGTAAGATTCCCATGGTCACTGGACTGTTCTGTGTTTCTGGACAGTAATCCAAAGATAACTCACTGATCCCCAAAAGGATCCAAAGAAAAAGTTTTTTCATGCCATACTGGCCAAAGTCATTTTGCTGGATGGGTAATGAATAAGATAGTACCTCCTGCTATTCCATATACAAAAACTGACTAAACTGAAAGTTGAATTTTTCTTCAACGCTGTCAAGGGGGACAAGATTTGAGGGAAAGCAGGCTAGGTAAAGGGAAGTGCAGGGAAAGTCAAAGAGATACATAACTTTCTACTCCAACACCTTGCTGCCAAATTCCAAAATTTGTTGACTGAATCAACTGCCTCACTCTGTCTTTTTCTTAAATCTGATACAACATGAGCAAAACAACTGTCTTGGAAGGACATTTTGATGTAAGTGTTGATAAAGAAAATGCTCAAATGAGTCTTATTGTGTTGCATTCTGACTGATACTCTTTTCCATGCTGTTCAACATGATTAAGACTGGTGGAAATTGTGATTTTCTTTAAAAAAATGAGGAAGATTAGAAAAGCTAGCAAAGGCTGCTACCGTTTGCTTTTGTATGAAACTATTGGACACTGCAAGAGCCTGCCTCCTCCTTTCCTCTCTCCCTGATGAGCTAACTGGCGACAAATGACATTCACACTTTCAGCTGAATCAGGAGTACTTGAAATAATATTAGGACAAAGGGAGTAAGTAGGAGGAGAAGAGAGAAACTGTACTATTTTCAAAGCAGTTCAAAAAGTGGGACAACCATGGATTATTTGGAATTGTCCCTGCCAAATAAAGGCAGTTGGAATGTGTGCCTTTCTATGAAATGGCACAACCTTCAGAAAAACAGGATAAGCTTTTCTGTGTGCATGTGCAGTGCAAAAAATGAATAATTAAGAGATAATAGCTACAAGAGGAAGAGAATGAGATTCCCTTCCCAAGGTATCTGTATGAAATGTCTGGGAGCAGGGAGTGCTTTTGTAGATCGTTTCCTTGAACTCTATACTACAGAAAGTGCAAACTGGTGACCTTAAGACTGTAAGATTCTCCAGAAGTTGTTAGAATACAACACTCATCATTATTGGCCAGACTTGTTGGGGGTTGTTTCAACTGCAAAAAGCTTGAGCTGCAACCTTTTTGTATGATGCAGGAAATAATGTTTACAAGTTGCTGGAATGTTGGAGTCCATCACTACATGCTTTCCGAGGAAATGAAAAGTGAATCCCTAAATGCGTCTATATTGGTTCATACTGCTGAAATGTACATATTATGCTTTTTTATTAGGCTTTTAAACATCTTTTAACTTTTAAAAATGAAAGCCCACAGGTTAAGAAGAAGCAGGACTGTTTCACAGTCCTATGCAGCCAGCATAGTTCTTCCAAAATGCAGAAGACGTCTTTAGACATGTGAGGTGGGTGGCCTTAATTACATACCTGTTATTTCAAAAGTGATGGACAGGAGTGGAGCAGCACTAGCCTTCGATGTGCTCTGTGACTGACTTTCTGAAATAACATGGATAAAGACTGCTGTGAATACAAGAGAATGGAGGGTTCTCATACAGCCTAAAATGGGATTAGCTGTTTTGAGTTTAGCCTACACAGCAGGTACGGGATTTCTCATGAATACAAAGCCTTTTCCCATTTCATTATTACTACTCCAAAATTTAACCATCATCCCTTGTGAGGCATTCAATATCTAGCAAGCTGTGGGTTTTTTTCCCTATCACGTTCAAAAAGAACAGATTTTATTCAGCCTGTCCAAATAAGACAGATGTTTTATTTTTGTGTATTGTGTGCCTTACCACATACCTGTTATTTCAAAAGTGATGGACAGGAGTGGAGCAGCAGTTTTTTTTTTTTTTGTAAGATCTGCTCAGGGGAGCTTTACATTTCTGTTTGTCTGAGGCTGAGGGAATGTAATTTGCTTGAGATCACTCAAGTGGATTTCCATGGTAAAGTGGGGATTCGAGCCCTGGTTTCCAGTCAATGCTCAAATTACTTCACCACACTAGCTCTCTTTTGTTGTTATGTGTCTTGAAGTCAAATCCAACTTATGACACCTGCTCCCGTTGTCTTGGCAAAATTTATTCAGAGAAGGTTTGACATTGCCTTCATCTTATGCTGAAACAGCATGACTTGACCAAACTTACCCAGTGGATTTCCATGGCTGATCAAGGATTCAAACTCTGGTCTCACAAAAGTCCTATTTCCACATTTGAACAAACACACCTTGATGGCTCTCACCAAAAGATGTGCAAAAGATATGTAAACCATTAAAATCTAGATTCCCAACTAAATATATTAACCTTTCTCTGTGCTTATTGATGCCTTTCTTTGAATAAGAATCATGGCATGAACATTTCAAAGACTTGACTGCTGATCAATTGGAACAACACCTCACTCTACAAATGTCTGTTTTTAGGATCTAAGTAGGGTTATTGTGGCCTACGAGCATCATTTCTATTAAGGTGAAACATGCAAAGACAACTCTCTTCCTGGAACATAATTCTGTTTTTTATTTTGTTTTAAATAAGATAATGTATACAATTCAAAGCTGGCATATATTGCTTCAAGGCATTCTAACATGTGGGCTAGATGAACTTATTATTAAAGTCTATCTGGGTTTTATTTATTTTTTAAAAAAAAGAAGAAGAAGAAGACAAGATCAGATCACTTGAATTAGACATTCTCTTTTTAAAAGTAAAATTGGGAAGTTCTCTTGGCTAATCTGCACTGAAATTAATATCAACCCTACCACTGAGCAGAGTGAACAATGGGCTCAAGCAGCAGATGTTGGAGGCAGCAACAAAGCTTGGAAAAGTTACGTTTTGAATGTATTTCCCATGATACACTTGACAATGTGGCCAGTGCTGGCTAAGAACTTCTAGAAATCATAGTCAAAATAGCAATTTTTCCAAGCTCTGACTAGCAGTAACAGTCCTGGGTAATTAGCCTGTTTGTTTTATTTAATAGTACAGAAATGTGTGGGTCATGCTCTGTCCAATGCTTCTTAAACTACCCTGTGGTTCTCAGTTGTGTTGGAGGATACTATCCCATTGGCAGCACTGAAGTAAAAGTCTTGTCTAGTCAGTTTTGTACAAGAAATGAAAGGGCAAGGAGGTGTCTTGTCTTTTGCCTCATGCAGCGAAGTGTCTTGAGTTAGCCTTGGAAATAATGTAACTGCAGTGTCAAGACTTGGCAAAATTCCCATTTCAAAAGATACATACACAGACAAGAGATCATCTTTCTGTTTCAAGTTTAAGAAATTGACCTAATAGGAGATTCGTGTCAGGACAGGATGACCCATACATGGCTGGCCTAGGATACTTCACTGTGTAAGGACAACAACAAAAAAGAGCTGGATTACATAACTGTAGAGTTAGGAGGCTCTTCTAGTCCAGTCTACCGCCAACAGAGGAACTGATATTTTGTCACCTAGCCTCTGTATAAAAACTGTCATGGAAATGTGGTAAATATTTTTCAAGGCAGTCAAACTGCTACTAGTGACAGAGAGATCATCCTACTTTTGAGAAATTTGAATACACTGACTTGGTTACTTCCCTCTGGAGCAGCAGAATCAAGTTTGCATAGATCTTCAAATTCTTGAAGGTGTATTTGAATTCAGCTCTCCATATTATTTTAACATTGAGAATCAGACAACTTATCCCATTGCACCTGAGGGCGGCAGGCTAGCTTAGCACATGTGGCTTGGTCCTTCAATATCTTGTTGTCCTCCCTGTCCAGTCCATCTGTCTAGGGTTTCATTCCGTCCCCTGGTGGAGCCCAATTTGGATCAATGGGCCCCTTTCCCCCTTTTGGAGTCTGTAAGAACATATGATATCAACCCATGGTACTGTTTTCAGATTTGATAAAATGTGCTTGCAACCTAAAGGTGCAGAAGCCATACAAAGAATGATAGGAAAATCACACACTGTAAAATGAGATCCTTGTCAATAGTACGTTGGAGAAGAGAATGAGCAATGTGCGAGAGAGGTTTTGCTTGCACAGTAAGGGAAAGTGGGTTTTGGTTTAAGAAAGACTGAGCTATCAAAGATTACTTTTGAAACCGATATGGGTTTTTTTAGTGCTTAAAATGCTCATGTGGCTGCTCTCATATATTCAAGACCTTTGATTGTTCTGGGCCACTACATAGTGACAGTAGCATAACTCATGAAACCATTGAACCCAAGTGATGCCTGGGTCATCAACATTGACTTATTAAGCCAATGCCAACCCCCTTTATTTGTGGTGAAGTTGCTTAAGGCCAAAGAGATAAGAAGAGAGCTACATTTCAGGGACAGAACACATACTTGTGTAATATTCTAGGCTTGGGTCTCAAAATCTTTGCTTTTGGCATCACAATCAGAAAGTATTATGCTGCCTGGGTGCATGAAAGTGCCAGAAGTGCATTTTCACACACTTGATACACAAAGCAAATAACTATTAGAAGGTAAACCATGAGCACATAACTTCCTACTGAAAAAAATATTTATTAAAAGGTATTGATAACAATACTTCACATTAATACACTGCTTTCAATTGTTCAAAGTCCATCTACAATATCTAGTTTTAATACAACATTAATTCTGCCAAGTACTATATAACTTGGTGATAATGTCTCATTATTGTTTGATGTCGATGTTTAATGTGTTTTTTAAGGGCATGTCTTTTTTATTAGTTGATTGCACTTAATATTTGCCATAACATGTTGTTGGCCACCCTGAGTCCCCATTGGTGAGATAGGGTGGCAAACAAATTATTATTATTATTATTATTATTATTATTATTATTATTATTACATTATCATCATCATCATCATCATCTCATGTATAAGTTTAGAAATGTTAGTCAAAATTGATCCTGAAAACCTAGGTAGATTCATCCATGGGTCAATGTATGTATTGTACCATAACTCTTGTCAATGATGGAAACATCTCTGAGTAAAGCAGCAAAAGGTGAGAGCCACGTTCATCATGGCAGAAAATAAAAAAGCACCAACCTTCTCTATTCTCTCTGTTGTAATGCCACTTTCAAATGCCTGGGAAAATGGCAGCAGCAAGGGTGGAGCCAAGCCACTTGAACTGGTGGTTTCCCCTCTTAGTGCTCTTCCAGAAAAGTCCTATAGCCCAGGATCTGATCCCAGGTTTTCTGTTTATCCCAGATCATCTGGCAGTGCAGATTCATATAATCCGATTTAAAACAGAGAGCCTGGGATCAGACCCTGGCATATAGGGCCTGTCTGGAAGGGCCGTTAATGGAATGACATTCAATAGGTTAAATCAAAATCCAGAATTATGGCTCCAAAATCTACCCTAAATTTATAAATGAGCTTAGCCTATACACAAGTGTTGAAACTGAAAGAGTGGCCTGTACATTCATTACAGGGTTGGAGTTGAACTGAGAACTTCCTGAATGCTTCCTGATTTGTAGCTCATTTTTAAAGGATCCTTTCACACTACAAATTTATAGCACTATAATGCTTATCTTGGATTCTGAGGTTTTTTGAGACACTGAACCAAAGCATCTCCCAGTTACTATGCACCTGTTTTTGGCTTGAAAATGAAATATGAAATGAATGGTCAAAGTTAGAATGGAAAGTTTGTCTTTCACGCTATTTTATGTGTCAGTGATTCATAACATACCTTCCTTTTCTTTGAGAGTATTTAAGTAGGAGAGGAGGTTTTCATTAGCCTGCACACAATATACTTCCCGGGTCTGAATTCCACCTCCACAAAGAGCAGTTTGATTCCCTCGTCGTTTATCCTGTTGACTAAGTAAAGGGTCAATGCGGCATTCTGTCCACTCTGTAGTTCTCCAGCCATACCTGAACCAAATAAACAGTCAATCAACAAATTTGACTATTAAGCACATAATAAATAAATCAATCTAACTCAGGACATGAGAAATAAACACTACTTAATATTTTTTAATTGCCCAAATTAAGAGCAAGGATACAACACAAAGATCTACAGTATGTATTACTTTACTAAACTTTGTCAATCCAGATAACATTAGCAGAAATGTAGGTCCCAATGAAATCACTGGGGGAAGTGAAGCACAATTTAAGAGACATTGATTTTAACAAGAACTTCACTGCAGAGGTAGTACTTTTATGTTTGCTCATGTATCTGATAGTTACCTAAATTAAACACAATGTTCTAAGTAAACATGTGTTTCAAGAGCACTAAATTTGTTTGCATGAAATTAGGCAGTTAAGTATGGGAAAAATGTATGATTTATCTTTTTGCACTGCACAGAATAGGGGCTGGTAATTATAAAATGAATAATTGCATGGTTTCATCTACTTGTTTTTTGCATTATGCAAGTTAGCTAATCTCTGTTTCTGGGCACCCAATCTGACACTGTAATCTGAAATTAAATGACACAGGTTTTTTTATCATGTCAGAAGCAACTCGAGGAACTGCAAGTCACTTCTTGTGTGAGAGAATTGGCCGTTTGCAGAGACGTTGCCCAGGGGACATCCGGATGTGTTACCATCCTGTGAGAGGCTTCTCTCATGTCTCCACATGAGCTGGATGGAGCTGACAGACGGGAACTCATCTTACGGAGTCAAACCACTGACCTTCAGGTCAGTAGTTCAGCTGGTACAAGGGTTTAACCCATGCGCAACTGCAGCTCAACACAGTGAAAATATAAAGAAAATGTAAGATATGACCGAAAATTTAACAGCTGCACAGATAAAGGTATCTAATGCTTTAATAGAGGTGGAACAGGAACTTCTTGCTCTACCTCAGGTAGTGAAGCGCACTGGGCTGACTTTTTTCTTGACTATCAAAAAACCTTGATTTTTTACATCGGTGCATTATTCCAGTTTCTGTACTTTCACATCCCTTCTAACCATGCACATTCTTCCCCATAATGTTCCTCTCTCTCCGTCTTCCTCCTTCCCTTTCACATTTTTCATTTGACAAGGTGACAGTGGAGTACTGCAATCTCCCAGCTGAACTATGGTAAACGAGATGTTTGGAGCTTTCCAATCAGCCAGTGCATAGAGAAAGAAGATCAGTGATGCTAACTTTAAAATCTCAGCCAGCTTTATAAAATGTCACCAGAGGCTCTATGCAACGAGTACTTTAAGAATGTATCAAGGGAAACATTTCCAGAGGCCATAAAAGATGGAGAATGGGTTTTTCTATCTGTCTGGATAAAAGACAGTAGCCTAGAATCAATGGCAATAGTACCAATGAAAGATTATCAAAATAGTGTTTCTAAAGCTGCAGTCCCTCTACACATTTACCCAGAAGTAAGCCATATTGATTTCATCGGAGCTTATTTCTGTTATAGATGTGAACTGGCTCACTAACACTCTGTAAAGATGAGAAAAAGAAGATAATAGATTCCTGGGCTGATATTGTTAGTCCAAACTAGTGTAGACCAATAATAATAATAATAATAATAATAATAATAATAATAATAATAATAATAATAATAACAACTTATTTCCCCAAGGGACTCAGGGTGGTTTCCAACATGTAAGGCAAACATTCAATTGGCAGAAAGAAATCATACAGACAATTACATCAAGATAAACACATTCAACAACATAACACTTAACAGACAAAATAACTGAAAGCATCATAAAATACAAAAAAAATCTATGAAAACACATTGAAAATAAAAATATTAAAAACCCATTTCGTTGTAGCTCCATCAGTAGAGGTTCAACAAAACCAATTAAAATCATTAAATCAGCAGAACTTACATAAGTGTTGATTTAACAAAGTTAACATTGATCGATGGGTCTTTTCTACTTTGGAATTGCAAGATTTAAGTCCTTTTATCTATGTGCTAATATTAATCTCAGTTGGAGGGTTAAACAATCTGATTCTAAACTGCTTCCTGCCACATTATCTGGGCTCTAATCTGGAATAATTTATTTACAGCCACTTTTTGATTTTTTTTTCTCTCCTCCTGGCCAATTGCTGAAGACATTAGGATGCACACATTGTGATGAATTTCGGTATCTTCAAAATGAGAACTACATAATATTCATTCTCAAAATACAATTTAAACCATAAGAACATGTAATAAAATTTATAATACAGTAATAATAATATAGCACTTAGAAAACTTTCAGAGTATGACAAAGAAAATAAATTGTGTTTTTTCTTTAACAATAGGCACTGGAAGAAGATGTGGCTATGTGTTGGTGATTCACCTGGTTTTAAGAAATGTATCTACTATCACTCAAGATGCATAGTGGAGGAAAATGGGAGCTCTTCTCTCCCAACTACTGCCACCACAACCCAGAGTCGTAATCAAACATTGAAACCACTACACCTAGCAGTTTCTCATCAACCAAGCATGTGCCCTTAAATGTCTCCTGTGCAGATAAACCAAAATGAGCTAATAACCCATCCAATGAATTTACCACCTTTTGCACTGAACAACTTGATTAATACACATCCCTCTATATTAAACAATATCAATGCCCAGTGGGAAACTAGAAATTACTTTCAGACAAATACAATTTAAACTAAGCCATTGTATACAATATTCTGATGGGCATGAGAGCTAAAGCAGCACCATTACTTCTGCCATATTACATAATATGAGAAGCCAAGAGCTATGAAGAAGGATCTTATGTTATGGCTTCCACCATAACATGAACGGTATTAACATTCAGTTAATAATGGGCTCCACCCATGATTATTTGTGTGAAATATAGCCTTTAATGTACCTAACATTGACCACACAATGTAGAATGGGTTTATGCAACATTACAAGGCAGTCATGGGCCTATGCAATGATTGGGATTTAGGGAAGTTTTAATACTTACGTGATACATGGAGCTACCCCATCTCCTTGAGATACACACTGCTCTGTTTCTTCGAGTTCTGGACAGTCACTGTCACTCCCAATAGGAAACTGTTTAATGGCCCGTGTTCTTGTACGAACCCCTTTCGGAGATGTCATATCAAAACATGTTTTGGAACACGGGCTCCATTCAGACCACTCTGAGATCTGGCATTCCTTAGGCATCACACAAGACTGGAAGGTAATTGGCAGCTTGTCTTGTTCACAAAAACTGTAAAAGAGTATTAAGATACATTTACTTAAGAATCTGATAAAACTACCATGTTAAGTGCACTAACTATATTTTGGGATGATTCATGGAAGAGACATGAATAATATATAATTATAATATAATGTTAATAAAACTTTATAGACCGCTCTCTCTCCCCAAGGGGACTCAGTGCGGTTTACACACAAAAAGGCCGAAACATTTCAATGCTCAAACATTTCATTTTAATATAATCTGAGCTAAGTGTGAGCTGAAAATAATTTGTTTGTGCATCTATATTAAGACACTAATTTGCGAGTGCTTTTAGATTATATACTTTGGCTCCAACAGAATATGAGTTAAGCATCTTCTTAATAGATTAACACAAAGAAATAAATTAATATACACTTTTATGCAAATAATACTGATAGTTTAAGAAGAAATCAAATTGTTTAAATAACTTCTTCATTAACACATCTGTATTGGGTCCAATCCTTGTTTTCCTTCTTTTCTCAATATCCTAACTGATATTGTTCAGTTAGAAACAACAGCTCCAGGGCTTTTTTATTAGGACAGTGGGCTTTCTGGAAATATTAGTTGGCAACTTCTTAAGATGTCCTGAGGATTTGGGGACAAATGCAGCATTTAACAAAGACTACTACAGGCTGCAGCCCCAGGTTACTATCTAAGGACAGCAGAAGTCATATTAGTCTATTCTTTCTCCCCAAGGTCACTCAACACATGAACCAGGCCAGTTTCCCCTGTTGACAGTTTCTGTTTTCTGTAACAACATCCCTATCCATTTCATGCCAAATTATATGAAAGTTGTGAGCAATAAAACTTTTTTTTCAACTTGACATATTTTCACATCACCTCTCTGGCACTGGCTATCTGTTGTGCTCAGTATTATTGCTGTGTGTCTTCAAGTCATTTCTGACTTATAGCACCCCAAGGAAAACCTTACACAGAGGAGTATGCCTGGCTTCCTCTGAGGCTGAGAGAATGAACACTTTTATACATCACTGTTATATATGCAAGATAACAGAAATGACACCAAATCTGCACAAAATGCTAGCTGACAAGCTCCATTCACTTCATAAGGAAATAAAGAACAATTGTGAACTCTGTTGTGATAGTATAGTGGCTACAGAGATAGTTAATAAGAAACACATGAACCAATACACACAAAACTGTCACAAGTATGGTAAGTATTATCCTTTTTGCAGCTAGGAGGGGGAAATTCACAACATGATTCATGTGCAGTATGTGGATCAAATTATTATTCTTCACAGAAAGGCTCAAACTGTTGTGCCATTTTAGAGACTTCAAAGTCATAGCCATGTTGGATTTCATAGCTGTTAGGATTTCTTAGAGTTAAAAGCCAAAACATCTGGGGATCTACAGGTTGAGAACCACCTATCTAGAGGGACCAGGTCCTATCTGATCTTAGTAGTTAAGTATGGTTAGCCCTGACTAATCCTTAGATGGGAGACTTCCAACAAATGTTAGGTGATGTAGGCTGTATTTCAGAAGCAGGACTTGGCAAAATCCTTGCCTAAGAAGATCTCATTTTTCCATGTCAGGAGTGACTTGTGAAACTTAAAGTCACTTCTGGTATGAGAGAATTGGCCATCTGCAAGGACAGTGATATATAAAAGTGTTCATTCTCTCAGCCTCAGAGGAAGCTGGTAAACTGTCTGGGATTTCTGGGAGTTGTAGGCCAAAATTCCTGGGGACCCCAGGTTGGGAACCACTGCCCTAGACAATATTTAAGTCAGTACATAGTGCAACTTACTATGGAGTAAATACTCAATGAATTTTAGCACATGTAATATTGAGTTTTTAGTTCCATCCAGTTCACAAACACATAGCAATTAAAAAGAAAGAAGCTAAGGACATGTTAATGGTAATGCCTTGCTCCATAATTTGCTCTAATTTAAAGTAAATTGCGTGAGCTGTTGAAGCTAATTACAAGGAGCCATTACAAAGATTTGCCTTCATTAAAAAAGCAGCAGGAAAACAGAGAATTTTGAAGTCTAAAACCATAGCATAAAATCCCAAAGTAGGAGCTCAGGGAGCTAAAAATAAAACTTGCAATGTCATGCAGTTATTTACACAAGACTAAAGGTACAAAATTATCATTTCAATAGGCATGAGGATAGTATTACAGTATGACCCCCTTCTCCATGGACTTGATATCCATTATTTAATTCACATACATTTTAAAAAATCCCATCCTTCGGAAGTGTTTGTGCATCTCTCTAGGTCTTTCAGTATTATTCTGTGGTATGTGTCAGGCTCAACCTTGGTTTACATAAACAAAATTTGAATATGCCCTCTACTGCAGAGATAGTTATGAACTTTTGGACTCTATGCTACTGAAGTACATGTAGTTTTTGACATCTGAAAATGAAGAAAAAAGGAGAAAGCACAATTTTTGTGCTAAATAATATATATTAGTTTGTTAGAGACTGTCTTGTTCTGTCACAATGTTATGGATTGTCAAATGGAACACTGAACATACTACACTCTTCATTAGGATATCATTACAAGAAATGAGGCCAATACCTTCCCATGAAGATGGCAATGCCCATTAGGTGGAGAAATGCATCTTGGATATGAGCTCTGTTTACATAAACATGGCAGAAATCATTATTCTCAAGTTTTATAAGCTAACTTATAAATAAATAAATCTTCACATTATGGAATTCCTGGCATTAAGCATTCCATTCGTTTTAAAAGAAACATTCATTCTAAGATTCCCATGTTTTTTTCTGGGGGAAAAAATCAGTGTGCAGGGGAAGATTCCAGGAATGGTTTCTCCCATTTTATCTTTCCTCTTCCCCAGGTCTCACGGGATCTGATTTCCTTCGCCTTCCCCATTTTAATTAGAAATCCAATTTTCAACTGGTATAGTGTAAGGTGTATGTGTGTGTGTGTATATGTGAATGCATGTGTGTATGCATGTTTTATATTTATTCAATTCTAAGGCACTATTTAGTGTAAGCCACACTAATTTCAGTACCATTGATAGTAAAATCTCTCTCTCTCTCTCTCTCTCTCTCTCTCTCTCTCTCTCTGTGTGTGTGTGTGTGTGTGTGTATGACCTGCAATTCTAAGATGCACTACATTTTTAGAGATGTTTACATGGAGATGGGAAGTGCATCTTAGAATGGAAGAAATGCATACACACACACACACACACACACAATTCTAATATGCACTACATTTTAGAGATGTTTACATGGAGGTGGGAATCTTCGAATGAAAGAAATGCACACACATGTATATATATAAAACACAAGATATATGCATATATGTCATTGCCTTATCTCTTGTGACCCTGTGATTAGACCTTCTCTTTAGTAAATATGGCAATGGATTCAGAGGAAAATGGGGTGACAGAGGAAATTTCCTTTAATACTGACTCTAAGCCTTATCTTCCATAAGCCTCAATGCACATGTGTGCCTAGTTATGTATGTTCACATATGTGTGTACATGTGGGTCCCTGTTCCTCTCATATTTTACAATTTTTCTGTGTGGTATGCCAGGCTAAGAGAAAGAGTTTTATACAAAGTCACCTAACAACCTTTGCAGATGAATGGCAATATGGAAGTCTGATCTTGTCAATGAGTATAGTCTTGTAGTTGCCACAATGCACTGCTTGGTTTGCCCAGACTTTGTCTTAAGGGAGCAAACAAGACTTCAAGTTATAAAGTTGCATTGCTGTTATATTTTTCTTGACCCACCAAGGAATAATAATAGGATTTTTTTCCCCTTCAAGCTTTTCCCAATAACATCAAACACAAATTAAGCAAATTCAGTTATGCAAAGCACTGATCAATAGGACCAATAACTGACACAGCATTTGTATGAATAGCAATGGTTATGATTACATGAAACTCTGGAAGAAATAATACTGACGCTATATTACAAATTGCCAACGACTATACGATAAGCTTGATTCAGAGTACAATTTGAACACTGAAGATTATACTTCTTGGTCAGAGCAAATATATGCTACAAACACACCATCAAGGTATATATTTGTCTGTGTTAGGGACAACAAAAAGTCTTGCAGACTGGAAAGCCTAACAAATTTTATTTGACATAGGCTTTCATGATTTAACAGCCCACTTATTCTCCTCTCTTATGTTGGAGTTGGCTTTGGTTCATTAAAGCTTCTAACAAATGAAACATAGCAGGCCTTACGGTGTAGGATCACATTAACAAGTGTCTCCTCAATATCCTCTTGAACTGAACCATATTTGAAATCTGAAGTGTTAAATAGGTTATCCCCATTTACCACCATTCGTATTTAAGTCCATTCCAGGTGGCTGGAACCTCAGTACTTACTATCCAAAATAGTCAAGAATGGGGAAAACAGCTGTTGCAAAAGAAAAGTTGTTTCATGGAAAAGTAGTCCCTCCCTCAGGTCCCAAATCTAATATTACCAGCTTTCTCTATGTCAGACTCTTCTTTATGCAACCAACATCTCTAGGCAATACCTATACATCAGCACTTGGTGGGGGAAGGAAAACATTAGACACAGGGATGCGGAGTGTCAGACAGTGAATACCTCATGTGGTGTGTATTGCTAAGTGCTAGCTCCACAAATTGGCTGTAGATTCCCTACAAAGATGAAAAATGCATTCATTAGCGTACCAGCCTGCTTTTAGTGCTAGATACGGCTTTTTTTATTTTAACAAGAGAACTGTAAGTATGATTGTAGATAATAATGGACCATGGAGTAAATACAGCAAATGACAAACATTGAATGATAGCTACAAGTAAAATGGTTGAGATATATAGATAACCTCAGTTCAATCAACGAAAATTGGGAGAGCAACAAGGTGGCCCTTTGGAGTTCAACCACTGATGCTATCGTGCCTTTTCTGCATGCTATGTATAGCCACTCCTACCGGGAGAGTCCGGAAATTCTATTTATTTATTTATTTATTTATTTATTTGCGATAGTTATATACCGCCCTTCTCAACCTCGAAGGGGACTCAGGGTGGTTCA